AGATGTGACTTGCTATGTGGTGTTACTAGCCACAAGAAATGTATCCGTCCTACTCTTACTAGTCAAATGGCGGGGAGTCAAGTTGTCGTTCAACAATCAAAGAATACTCCTACTAAAAAGGAAGAGGTGTCAAAAGCTAAAAGATGTGTATATCCGAAAGCATGAATTAGAGATACGTGATGCTATTCTTTCTATTCTTAAGCATCCACATGTTGATCAAACTCTTTTTGTTTTCATTATTCAATTAGCTCGATTTATTCGTTCTGATTCTAATACAAGATTTTGGATCGTTATTTGTCTTGTGCGAGATAGAAACAAAAGTCATTAGAATATGACCATTCGAGTTGTTGTTATAGCAAAAGTAAAGACCTTATCTTGGGTTTAGTCTATAAACCAAGAAGGAGCAGGAGTCTACAATGAGAATTGAGTTTTAACTCAAAGATTAGGTTCGAATGTTCAATATAGAATGAAGAGCGGGTGCAAATTTGAACACCGCCAGTAATTAGGAAGTTTGAAGAATTTGACAATCGTTTGGAAAACTAAAAGTTAAATATCATACATTTTAGATTACCACAAAGGGAGTAAGTTAAATCTCGAATGTTGTGACTAGTAATTTTCTCGTAAACTCTAGATCTACTCACATCTTATTTTATTTCAATGTCTCAAATTCTTTCGTGCCTTATAAATTCGCATATTCTTTTCAAATTGCTTGTTACGCAATTGTCCAATAATTTCATATAGATAACATAGGAAATATATCATTACTTGCTGATAAAGACTATAGAGTTAGTGTTATAGGAATTGAAATTTCTAATCTTCCTGCTAACCTAATTCTTATCTTTGATATTATTCTCGACATGGATTGGTTGTTAAAGAACCACGCAGAGCTCTTGTGCTACAAAGAGATGATATGCATCCCTATCGAAAGGGAAGATTTTATTATGTCTACGGTGAAAATAATAAATTTCTTTCTTAAAAACTCGTAAATTATGTCGAAGGGATATTCTACTTATCCGACTTATACAGTTAATACCTTGAAAGAGGAGAAGAAAACTGTGAATGATAACCTTTGGAAAATCATCGACCGGCTGATAAAGAGTACATATATTCTCGCCACACGTGAAACGACTCCATTGGAGAAATACATGTAAGTTACTTAGACAAAATAGTGGCAAGTCATGGTGCGCCACTATAGATTATTTCCGACTGTGATACTCGTTTCAGTCCTAACTTTTGGGTGAGAATGAAGCATTAATTAGGATCTCGAGTTGCTCTTAGTACAACTTATCATCCTCATACAAATGGTCAAAAGAAGAGAGCAATCCAAACAGTAGAAAATATACTGAAGGTATATAAAGTATTGTATGAGCGTAACTATCATACTCAAATATGTTGACGTGATGTAAGACGGAAGATCTTTGGAGGATCTGAAATGATTCAAGACATCACTAACAAGATACAAATTTTTCGAGAAAGAATGAAAGCGGCCCATGATCGATAAATTCCCTATGCAAAAAAAAAAGAGGAGACGACTCGTAGAATTCTGGGTGGATGATTTAGTAATACTGAAAGTATTTCATGAAAAGGCGTTATACTACTTTGGAAGAAAGAACGGTTGGTAAGCAAGCATACTGCTTGGAATTGCCTAAAGATTTGACAAATATTAATGAAGTGTTTCATGTGCACTATCTATGTAAAGGTTTAAGCATATATGATGAAATGGATCTATTATCAAAGGTGAAATTGGATACTAAATTAAGTAGAAGAGATAGTAAATGAAAGAACGACTAATCTACATAATAAAGAAGTAGAGTTGCTGATTTTCAAGTAGAAACAGCATCAACGCCCAAATTATACTTGGGAAAAATAAGAATAAGATAAGAGCGAAGTATCCCTATTTGTTTTAATCATTATAATTTCGGGGACGAAATCCTCAAAAGGAGGAGGTATTTGTAACATACACGTTCTGAAATTGTGTATTGTTATTATTGAAAGTGAATAAAATTGAGTGTTGAGTTCTAACAAGATGGTTTTTACTAAAAATGAAGTAAAACTATGTTTAGAATCACTCAGAAAATATTGGAAGTCTTATGAGATTCCATTAAAAAGCCAAATAGTTAAATTTAGCGAAAATATAAAATTTGAAATAAGTAAAATTTTATTATTGAAAGTTGTAAATAGAAAGTTGTAGGCGAAAACCTCGTCGAAATCCGAGTTATAACGAAGAAGTTATGACCAACCGAACATCCGCGACAAAACCGGCACGGCACCAAATGACGTAAAAAGTGAGTTTTTGATAAACTACTTTTTTAGCCTTAGAAATCTAAATGAAAGTTGTAGTATTCGTTAAACCAAGAAATTCGATAAAAAGAACGTCAAAATCTGACTTCGTATGAGAAAGTTATGATTTTTCGAAGTTTCAACTTAGCAGTAGACAGCTAAAAACTCGAATTTTAGATTGATCGATATTTGACCGATACATCCTAAATGAGAATCGAAGGTCTCGTCATTTGTATTACAACGTTAAAAAGTCTGACGAAAACGGATGTCGGATGAAGAAGTTATGAATTTTTAACGGATTTTCCTGTACCGGTCTGTTAAAAATAATAATAATAAAAATAAAATCAAAATTAGCCGACGAAGTCTAAACGAAAGTTGTAGAGCATAATTTTAGCTAGGCGTGCATATAAAGAAAGTCAAAAACGGAGCTCGTATGCGATAGTTATGCATTTTAGAAGTTCGGGGCTCAAAATCCGAGAATTTTCGCATGAACAGTACCGACACGAAGCAGCTACGTCACCTCGCACAAAGCTACTGCATCACCGGAGACGTGGCCAAATCCGAAGCCGGCGCATCTATCAAGTTTCGTCGCTGGGGCCGTGGTCCAGCAGGAACGAGACAAGTCTTGCATCGGTGGCCAGTCCGACGCGAGAAACGTCTCGCCTACCAGCCTCGCATCCGAGCCACCCTGTCCGAGCCTCGCATTCGCGCTAGCTCCCCTCCTCTCGCTTCGTGGCCTTCGCTTCTCCTGCTGCGTGCCCCTCGCTGCTGATGCCACCGAGAGGCTTCGTTGCCTGGTTCCTTCTTAGCCGACTTCGGCCTTGGCCCTATATAAAGGGAGGCTGCGAACCTTGCCGACTAACTTTGGAAATTTGCCACTTTTAGCCCCTCTTTCCATATTTTCTTCATTTTGAATTTCCCCGAAGCCCTGGTATCAATTTTAGAAACCGAAACACATCCCAAAGTTCCCGATAAGCCCGAAAATTTTATCTTTTTGGTTTTGAAGCCCTACCTTCGCAGAGCCCAGTTTTCAATTAAGCTCCCAGTTTTCAACATAGAAAGTCATATTTAAAGCCGAAATGCTGTCCGAATTACTATTTTAACCCCGGTTAACTTAAGGTGAGTTCAATATATAGGAACAATTGTATGTTATGTGTTACATGTACTATGTGCTTCTGAGTGTTATTATTCTGAGTTATTTTCCCGTGTTATTTTATTCACTATGTTTATAGCAAATATAATACCTTTGACCATGTGATCAGTGAAAGGACTTAGATTCACATTGGTACTGGTACGTAGCCTCTGGCCATGTAGTGCATGTCTCCGTAAGAGAATAACTTCTATTCTATGGCATTGGCAGAAAGTTAGATAGGAATGGTATGTAGCCTCCGACCATGTAAAGCATGACTCCGTAAGGGAATGAAGTCTATTCTATGGTATTGGCAAATTGTTAAACAGGGCGTGAAAACCTGAAATCTACCGAAATACTAAACAGGGCGTGAAAACCTGAAATCTATCGTATTGATAATCAGAAATTATATGTCTTCTGTTCCATTTGGGCCAAAGCTTTATTGATGCATATCAAGTATTGAAATCGTTATGTCTCATTGAAAAGTATATCTTTGAATAAAGTCTTTGATTGATATGAACGCTTGTCACATGATTTCACATATTTCTTATTGTTCCTCTTTGCTTTTGCCACATTGAAGTATATATAAGGAATAAGATTATATTGTATCTATTTATTGAATTCACTAAGCGTTATCGCTTATTCCTAATAATGTTTAACAATTGCAGGTGATGAGTATCCAATATAGTTTTATACTGCTGAAAGATTTAGAATAGTTAATACTATTTCTCTGTATTTTAATTTTCATGTATGTATATGAATAGTAGATTCCTGGGTAGACATGAAATGTAATAAAACTTAGTCGGTTTGTATCCAATCCTTTGTAATCACTTTATCAATATAAAATATTGTTTTATAAATATGCATGTTGCATGTTTTGAGGAAGTAACTTAAGAATAATATTAGAATAATATGAAAGTTTGGGTCTTTCATAAATACGAAAGTTGGGGTCTTTCAATCATGGTATCAGAGCAATGGTTTAAGTGAACTAAATATCACGGATTGGTATTGAGACTTAAACTGTTGGAAGCTCAATATATGAGCTGATTCATAATAAGTATATGGATACAAACCATAGGAAATATTTAAGTGGGGGATTGGGTAGTGATAAACCCTAGTATTCTAAGATATTAAGTTACTTCATAATTTTAAGAAAATTAGTTTAAATAAACTAGAAATTTTAAGAATTTATAAACTTAAACAAGGGTAAATTACATGGATGGTCCCTGTGGTTTGGGGTAACCTGCGCGCCTAGTCCCTGAGCAAGATTTTTAACTCGGATGATCCCTAATGGTAAAATTCATCACCCTCCTGGTCCCTCACTTAACATCCCGTCTAGTTGCTCCGTTAAAACACCCCACGTGCAAGGCACGCAGGGGTATTTTTGTCTTTTTAATATTCTAGTGTTAAAACACCCCACTTCCACGCAGGGGTATTTTTGTCTTTTTAATATTCTAGTGTTACCGCCATGTTGTATACGAAGAGGCGATCATTTTGCTCTGTACTCCATCTTTTCATTCAGAAAACCCAGAAAAATTTCAACATTCCGATAAGAAAACCCTAATCGTGATATCTTCTCCTCTAAAACGCAATGGTGTTGTGGCGTATACGTGCAAATATGGAGGAAATTGATGTTGGACGTCATTACTGTAAGTATTCTCTCACTCTCAATCTTCTATAACTTGGATTTTGTTGAAACGTTATCTGAAGTGGGCTATTTCACAGGGGGGCATCCGACAATCTTTTCCATTAGGTTATACCATGGTGGAGAGTTCGCCAAATTTCCTGGAAGAAAGTACATCAAAGGAAAACAAACGTATATAGACTTACTCGACATGGATACTTTCTCAGTGCATGACATTGATGAAATGATGGAACAGTTAGGCTATGTTGATGAAGGTATACCTTTGTACTATCACTTTAAACGACCTTTTTCAGATTTAGATTTCGGGTTATTTGCTTTGGGTAGTGATCAGGATGTGAGACATCTGGGTACCTTCATTTCCAAGCATAAGTTGATTGAAGTCTATATTAAGCATGGAAAAACCCAATTACATACGTACACAATGTCGCCAAATCAAGCAAAAGTTCAAATAAAGGAAATTATTGAACCTCCATCATGTTCTCGTAGGCTTTTCTTAGATTGGTATGATACTGGGGAGACAAATGTTGTTGGGGATGCTTCTAAAGAGGCTAATGTAATGGACGTCACTGGAGATGACAATATGGACATAACTGATAATGGGGATAATAACAAGGAAGGAAATCCATGTGTTGAAGTTGAAATTGGGGACATATTTGAGCACACGAATGAAGTTGAATTTAGGGATGGTAACAAGGGTGGAGAAGATCCATGGTCTAAATTTGAAAGTGGGGACATGTTTGAGGACATAAACGAAGAAGAATTTGGAAGTGGGGACAACTTTGACGATGATAGTGGTTATAAATCCAGTGAGTCCGATGATATAGACTTTTATGTTGACAATGACAACATCTTAGATGATGTAGAAGTTGACATGAATGATTTCAATGATAACATTGATATGGATGCAGAGTGGGTTGGAGGTATGAATGACAATGTGGTACAAGAAGAGAATGAAGTTGGAGAGCTTAATGAAGTACTAAATAACGAGGTACTTTTTTCAGGATCATCTTCAGATGAAGGTCCAGTTGGTCAACGAAAGAAGACCATCAAAGCTATCCAACGAGCTCATGAGAATGATGAAGCAAATGTTGCTGAACCATTTTATATCCTTCAAACCTTTAATACAGCCCAAGAGTTTAAAGAAAGAGTTAAAGTCCATGCTATTGAGACAAGAAGGGAACTTGGTTTTGAAAAAAAATGACAAGAATAGGGTAAGATTTGTGTGTAGGGGGACAATACCAAAACTGGGAAACTTAGACAAAAGTGGGGAAGGTCAACAAGAAGTCAACAATGAAGATGAAGAGAAGTGCCCGTGGAGCCTCTACGCTAGTAAATGGAAACGTGATATAAACTGGATGGTCAAGTCTTACAACAAAGAACATCGTTGTCTCTAAACTCGGAATGTTAAAGAGTGTACTTATAAGTTTCTTGCCAAAAAGATTACAACTCAGGTGGAATCTAACCCAACTATTCCAATTCGTGCTTTACAAGAAAACTGCAACGTGATTACCAAGTGGGACTTTCCAAGATGAAAGTGTTTAGGGCTAGAACTGAAGCTCTCAATCAGGTGCGAGGGGATTATGTTGGTCAGTATGCTCTATTGAGAGACTATGTTCAAGAACTTCAAAAACATAACCCAGACACGACTGTAAAGATTGATGTAGAGAGTCAACCAAATCCAAATTCAGAAACTAGAACTTTCAAGCACATATACATCTGTCTTGGTCCTTTTAAAAAAGGGATTTGCTGCTGGAAGAAGAGACTTTCTTGGTCTCGATGGTGCTTTTATGAAGGGTCCATACCCAGGACAAATACTTTCAGCTATGGTAACCTTTTTTCATATGAACTACATTTATATTATAAAAAGTTGTATTTTAGGTTATTGATGGTGCTTTAATTGTAAATTTTTTACTTATGTAGGGAATTGATGGTAATAATGGAACATATCCACTGGCTTATGCTGTTGTGGAATCTGAGAGTACCAACTCATGGACTTGGTTTCTAACTTGTCTAGGGGATGATTTGGGTTTAGGAACAAACTCAAATTTTACGTTTATGACAGACAGACAAAAGGTATTAATTCGAATATCAAATTAATACATTATATATGATATACTTTTAATACAATTTTCCATTATATAAGGAGTGTTACCTGCTATAGCCAAGTTGTTTCCATGCGCTGAGCATCGTTATTGTCTTCGTCATATCCATGAAAACATGAAAGCTAATTGGAGGGCAAAGCAATTCAAAGACTTGCTATGGGATTGTGCAAAAGCATCTACTATTCAATAGTTTCAACGATCAATGGAGGAACTTAGAAAACTTAATAATGATGCGTATGAGTGGCTTAAAAACATTCCTCCTCAACATTGGTCTCGTTCACACTTTACAGGTAGATTTTAATTGTTGGGCTGAAGATTATTTTGAAGATTGCGTCTTTTGGGCTCGATAGCATAAGTTATTTTGTATTCCGGTTTGGGCCTGTCCAACCGAGAACCTTTTATGTTTTGTATATAAGTTTATGCTTGCATGCATATCAGGTTAATGTTTTTAGAGATCTACGAAATAGCGATTCATCTAGACGATAACAGGTTTCTTTAATCGTTCTTGTAACCCTCCAATCCTCTACAGTTGATGTTCCTAATAGAGCTCTTCTGAGGATTTTATTTAATCATTCGACACGTTTGATTTCATCTTGACTTGTTCTTATTATTGCGTTCATACTGTTTTATGTTTATATACTTGTTCAAGATCTAATCGATCTTTGTAGATTAAAGGTTAGCATAATCTCATCAATTGGTATCAGAGCAGGAGGCTGTGTAATCAATACACATCTTTACTGTGAAAAAGATTTCCATTAGGGTTTTTCCGCAATCATCAATATTTATTGAGTCGTCATCTCTTTATTGACATATCTTGATATTTATTGTTTTGCCCTAATCTGCTTTATTACAAGTCTGATCTTTGAACAGGTTTTTACGATTATAATGGACGCGACGCAATCAAACCTTATTAATATTTCCAACAGCATCGGTTCGACGACAAAGATTCCAATCTTATACACCCATGACTATGAAGTATGGGCGCATCACTTTGAAGACTACGTGATTGGATCGGAGGATAATGGGTACCTCATATGGGAAGCCATCATTAATGGACCGTTTTCTCATTCTGCATCGTCCAGAATCATCAAGACACAAAAGGAGTACAATGATCTGCTAAAGGACGTGAAGGATATTGCACAAGATGAAAAGGATAAATTCCAGTGCAATATTAAGGCGTTAAGGTTGATCAGATTCGCCCTTCAGTCCGACACATTCAGGTTGGTCAGCTCATGCACGACGGCAAAGGAAGTTTGGGATAGACTTCGTGAACTGTATTCTACAGACGAGGATCTTGAACATTCCATTCAAACTTTGCTTTTATCTGAGTTTGGAGAATTCAGGCAAGGAGCCGAAGAAACGGTGACCCAGACGTTTGATCGCTTCAATCATCTTCTCAGCAAGATGATCAAACACGATATTGAAAGGAAGCTTATCGAACAGAAGGTTACTTTCTTGAACGGACTGAGGTCTGAATGGAGAGCAGTAGTTTCCACAGTCAAAGCCCATGAGCAGTTTAAATCATACTCTTTGGCGAAACTGGTGGGTATTCTTAAGTCCCAAGAGAAGATTGTGGTGCAAGAAAAGAACGTCGTTTCTAGTCTTGGTTCGTTGGCCCTCCTATCTAAAAGTAAAGCTGTGATGGAGGATGAAGACCTCAACTTGGAGGAATATGATCTCACGTCTGAGGATTATGCCATGATGGTGTCCAATCCCAAGAGGTTCATAAAGAAGAGATTCCCCAGCAACAAAAACCGAAACTGGCAGGGGAGTTACAGCTCTGAAAAGGTGAACAATGAACCGAAGGCTGAGGAGCACAAGAAGGAACCGAAGGTGGATGGCGATTCCGGAGTAAGCTGTTTCTACTGTGGTGGGAAAAACCACTATGCTAAGGACTGTGTCCTTAAGAAGATGGCTGAAAAGGATGATGGAAATGATGAGGAAGCTGTGTTGCAGAAAAGATTGGACGAGTTGAGAAAGAAGAAGTCTACCGCTAACCCTCTATTAATGCTCTCATTGTGCAGGGTTCGGTTAAAGATGACGAGTTCGGTAGCACGGAAGTTTGGTCTACCGACTCAGAAGACGATGAAGTGAGGAAGCCTACCCATGGAAAGGCTTATGTGGCTAAGGAGGAAAGCAGTGGAGGAAGATGCTTCATGGTGACTGACGTATCTCAAATGAGGGGATACAACACCGATGGAGGAAGCGATGGACCGAAGGTACAGGAGGACATGTGCTTTACGGCCAAACCACTTAGCCAGCAGTTCAATGAGCTCGATGAACTGATAAAGAAGGTACAATCTGTTTTTATTTCATCCAAAGTACCACCATCCTCATATGAGAAAGAACTAAAAAACGTTAATACAAGAATTTCTCATCTAGATAGTAGCTTAACTCAAACTCGAGTCACCAATTCTAACCTAACTGATCAATTAAGCAGGGTGGCGTCGAAGAGTGAGGAGCGGAGAATGTGGATCGAGTTAAAGGAGTCGGAATTAGTTAAAGTTAAAGACGAAAACATTTATTTGCAAAGAGACAATTTAAAATTGTTAAAACAGCGGAATGTTTTTTGTTTAATTGCTAAACGTTTGTATTCTAATATTACTCAGCTTCACTTGGATTGTGAAATAGGCCAAAAGATCCATCGCATGATTTTGCCCTTCCTAGAGTTTAAGGAGGATGAAATCGATGCCGAAGCCTACAATTGTGAGAGTGTGATATCGTCTGATGATGTCAATCCGACCTACATGTATGGACTGGACAAAATTGAGTCCTTCATTAAATCCAAGGACCACAAGGACATGCTTAAAAACCTTTTGGATGAAAATGACAGACTTAAACTGAGAACCGAAACCATGCAAAAATTTGACTCTTTAAACGCCAACGTAAGCTCAGAAAACAAAATTGATGTTGAAAATGCATCTGAGCTTAACGAGGACGAAAACATGAGTGAAATTTCTGTAGAGGACACGGTTGACTGCTCAGAATTTTTAAAAACGAACCTGAAAACCACAAGAATCTTATTTCTGAAAATTCAGTGGAGTTCGCTCGATTGTCCCATCAAAAGTCCCCGATATTAGTTGAGAAAGCAGTTGTGTATCAAAAGGTCAGGACCACTCCGAATCAAGTATACAAGGTGACAGGAGTTACCGAACATCAAACAGCTGAACTCACAGCTATTGTAAACGAAGACAATGCTGATGGCTGCGATGAGTACTTCTGGGAAGCTCCAATAGATAATGCAAACGAAACCATTGGTTTATCTGAAAGAACTTCCTGGAAGAGCAAAGGAAGATACATACCTGAACCCTTGAATAAGCCGGATAATTTCGATGAGCCAAGCACCAGTGGTACAAAAGATATTCCTCAGGAGGATGATCGTTCGGCAAAAGAACACGCTACCTCTACTCCCTCAGCTCAAAGTGGAACTTCTACAGACATTCCCTCTGCTCCTTCGGCTCAAAGTAAAACTCCTGCAGTTCAAAAGGAACCAGCCAAGGAGACACCGAAAACGAAAGCGAATGTTCATCATCAACCTAAACAGATGAGGAATAGGAAGAGAGAAAGGAACAATAGATACAGGAAGAACCTTTCTGAAAGGAAACAATTCTGGCATTCCCAGAATGCATATTTCTCACACCAAGACAAGAATCTGAAGTATGAAAACAATCCTGTAGGAAAGCCTAAAAGTCACAACAACCGAAGGCAAAGGTTCGGTTCTGAAGTCAAAAGAAAACAAGACTCTAAGGTCGGTCCCCCCAACGATCAAAAGCAAAAGGGTCACCTAGAGTCTCCAGCCAGGAAATCCTCTCAATCCAAACCCTCTCATTCTAATTCTTCTCGTTCTTCTAATTATTCTACTTCCACCGATTCATCTCCATCTTGCTCTAAAGCTAATTCCGCTTGTTCTCAAAAATCTCATTCGTCAGTTGAACAAAAAGGAAAGCAGAAGGTCAATGAATCCAAACCAGAGTCCAAACCGAACACACCCAATCCTAACAAAATAAAAGTTTTTACCATTAAAAAGAAAGATGAAACAACTCTTATAAAACGAACATATCTAGTTGACATCTCTCTTACTGTTCCAGTTCCCATGAAA